GTAGTAGTAGTAGTAGTAGTAGTAGTAGTGGTAGTAGTAGTAGTAGCAGTAGTAGTAGTAGTAGTAGTAGTAGTCGTAGTAGTAGTAGTAGTAGTAGTAGGAGTAGTAGTGGAATTAATAATAATAGTAGTTGTAGTGGTAGTGGCAGTAGTAGTGGCAGTAGTAGTGGCAGTAGTAGTAGTAGGTGCAGTAGTAGTAGTAGTAATAGTAGTAGTAGCTGTTGTTGTTGTTGTAGGAGTTGTAGTAGTAGTAGTAGTAGTAGTAGTAGTAGTAGAAGTAGTAGTAGTAGTAGTAGTAGTAGTAGTAGTAGTAGTAGTAGTAGTAGTAGTAGTAGTAGCAGTAGTAGTAGTAGTAGTAGTTTCTAGTGGTGGTGGTAGTGGTAGTCGTGGTATTATGATTAGTAGTACTACTAGTAGTATTCGCAGTAGTAGTAGTAGTAGTAGTAGTAGTAGTAGTAGTAGTAGCCGTAGTAGTAATAGTAGTAGTAGTAGTAGTAGTAGTAGTAGTAGTAGTAGTAGTAGTTGTAGTTGTAGTAGTAGTAGTAGTAGTAGTAGTAGTTAGTAGTAGTAGTAGTTGGTAGTAGTAGTTAGTAAGTAGTAGTAGTAGTAGTAGTAAGTAGTAGTAGTAGTAGTAGTAGTAAGAGTAGTAAGTAGTAGTAGTAGTAGTAGTAGTAGTAGTAGTAGTAGTAGTAGTAGTAGTAGTAGTAGTAGTAGTAGTAGTAGTGGTAGTAGTAGTATTAGTAGTAATAATAGTATTAGTAGTAATAGTAGTAGTAGTAGTAGTAGGAGTAGTAGTAGTAGTAGTAGTAGTAGTAGTAGTAGTCATAACAGTAGTAGTAGTAGTAGTAGTCGTAACAGTAGTAGTAGTAGTAGTAGTAGTAGTAGTAGTAGTAGTAGTAGTAGTAGTAGTAGAAGTAGTAGTAGAAGTAGTGGTGGTAGTAGTAGTAGTAGTAGTAATAGTAGTTCTTTTGCGGGGCAGGCCCCAGTGCGTCCGGGCAGGCGGGGTAGCATCGCGGGTGGCATCGTGCTCGGAAGCCCCTGTGAAGCACGGGAGCAGGACGCGGGGCGCTGGCCCGAATGCAGCGCACCGCCTTGCCAGCCTCCTGTACTGGAGCGCCAAATCGCCGCGCAATGACCGACCGAAATGGAAACCGTGCGAGCAGAAGAACTTCGCGCGGTGGCACCCCGCGCATCCAGACAAATACGCAGTACCATCCCAGGGGCTCAGGATGTGGGGGGCCTCCGAGAACGGGCAGAGCAACGGAGACTGCCCACAGGCGCTGCAGCGTCTGCCACAGAGCAAGAGCAAGTATACCAGAAAGCCTATGTTGGCTCATCGCCGCTTGCCTTCTTTTTTTTCCGCTTCCGACCAGTCTCAGAATGAGGCACCGGAAACAACCGCAGGATGACCCCCAGAGCGCCCAGTGAACCGATTCCGATGGCCCAACAGAAACAGCAACTCTGCACCCCCAGTCCCGGAAGCGATGTTTGACACAATGGCCCCTGGCCCCTGCCACCTAGGCACACTTCAAGGAGGTCGCCTCTGGAGTCGGCGGCAGGGACGGCATCCTTTAGATTTCATTAAGCTGTGTTTCCGCTTGAGCTTCCACGGGGCGTTGCACTTGTATGGCATATCATCTTAGGACCCAATGACACGTACGCCCAAACATGTCACACTGAAAGCGCATGGCTTGGTTTATGGTTGTTGAACAAACGTGTTTTCACATGTAGCGTATGTTTTGTAAACGCCCATGTAATCGTTCATATGCAGCCATGATTTGAGGCAGGCCTTTACGATCTCTGTGAAGGGCATGTTTGAGGTTTGTAGAATTATGCGCAAACGTTGTCTTCTGTCGAGCATAGCCCGTGAGATCTATGTGGGCGGGTGCATCTGGCTGGTTATGTGTGGGAGTGATGCCTACATATCTGCATGTGTGTATATATACACATATCTAGTGGAGCAGTGTCAGAGCCCATGGCGCTTTTGGACTCTTACGATCCTTGTTGCGATCCCTCTGGCGGTGCATCCGTTATTTGTTTATGTATAGATATATCGAAACAACGTATTGGCTGCTCGTTGATACTCTGACGCTTGCGACCCGTGTGGGGGGGTGCATCTGTCTGGCTTGTTAAAACTGTGAACAACTCGTTGTGTTTTTGTTTGTGGTTCTTCTGGTTTCTGTGAGGGGAGGCGGGTGCCCTGAATGATCTTCACAAGGGTGATAACAAGGCGGGTGAGCATGTTGAGGTGCAGGTGGAGGGCACATGCCTGTGATCACGCTGGAACCGAATTCTTCGTATCCGGCCTTTCCTCGCACTGTCTCTCCATTCCCCTTCGACCACTCACTACAAGAGGGCCTCAGGTCCCGAAGAAAGGCCCAGGAGCATACAAGAGTCTTTTAAAATGCCCCTGGTCCACAACCACTGTCTCCGATGCGGAACCGAAACATAAAAAGAACCATGGCCCCAGACCCCCCCCCACACGCCGTGAGCTTATCACGACGTGGCCCCCTTGGAGACCTCGACACACTCCTCGAGACTGGCCTTTCATCCCGAGTCGTTTCTGCGACGGTCCCGGGGACTGGCGAGGGCCCCCGGAGGCCGACAATACGAAACACCTTCCGTCGCGATGTTTCACGACGCGAGGGGGTCGGAGAAAGAGGAGAAACACATTTGTACTGATGGAAACCATGTTGGGTGTTCCAAGACGGTGCGGTGACAGACCGTGCGGTGCCAAGAGACCTCACCGCACAGCCCGTCACCGCATGGATTTGGCACCCTGCAGGCCCCAGCCGCCCGAGACGTCCTCGGATAGCGACCCGAATCCCCACTGAGTCATCACACGGTGTGGTCACCGCGCCGTTGGGGGTACCCGAGAATAAGAAACGCGGCAACAGTAACAATGGCAACATGTTGAACAACCACCACAAATCAGGAACATACCAACAACAAGGGAGGACGAACTTCAATCCCAACAATCATAACAACCAACGGCGAAAACTTCATAATCGCAAGACGCCTAAAGCTAGTACGAACTACGCGACGAAGCAGCCACATGCTCCCGATCAGTAAGAAGGAACCATCAAAATGAGAAAAACGACGAGCGGTGGGGACCACAACTCTCGGGACCTCTCCTGGGGTGCCTTCTGACCCGGATTTCGAGGCGCATCCAGCTGTGGTGACGAGGGACTCCCAGGAGGCTCACACACAAGGGAGAACGGAGAAAGGGTGCCGGCACCAGGGTACCTTCGCATGAGGGAAACGGGACCTGAGAGAAACGGGTCCTGGACCCCAGGCCCCCCCCACACGCCGTGAGCTTATCACGACGTGGCCCCCTTGGAGACCTCGACACACTCCTCGAGACTGGCCTTTCATCCCGAGTCGTTTCTGCGACGGTCCCGGGGACTGGCGAGGGCCCCCGGAAGCCGAAAATACGAAACACCTTCCGTCGCGATTTTTCACGACGCGAGGGGGTCGGAGCCCAGGACCAGTTCTTCATCCTCAGTCCTCTTTCTGACGGCCCTGGGGCCCGTGAAGGGCCCCAAGAGCACGAAACTGGTGGAAAAACCTCAAGGCCAGCTTCCCTCAGGACCCGCTTCCCCCATGCCGGCTACACACGAGAATGACCCAGGGCAAAGAGACCTTTAGTATGCGCGACTTCAGGCGAGGCGCGGGGGAGCCACACCCAAGCGCGCAGGCCGCTACGATCGGATCACATTCGGCCATCTCGGGGCCCCAATGTGCCTGGACCAAGTCGTTCCGGCGAAAGGTCACTCCCACGTGCCAGATTCGATTCCAGAAACCCTGAACCCAAGAATGCTGCCAGCTCTTGGGGACGCATGTTTTACTTCCGCCACCTTCCGCCGCCCTTCCGCCGGCCCCCTTCCGCCGGCGGAGGCGGCCTCCTCTCACTTCTGACTGCCTACCAGACCACCCCAACCCAACCCGAAGACCCGAATTTCGGGTTGGGGGGGGTGCGGGCTTCATATGTGTTTCCCCCCCCCCCACACACACTGGAAATATATGGCAAATCGGGGCCTTCGGGTTGGGTTGGGGTGGTTTGGTGGGCGGTGAACTTCTGCCGACCTGCCGCCGAGGACGCGAGGTGGCAACCCCTCCGATCCTCGCAGACGAGGCCCCTCCATCGCCCCGCGTGCAGCCGACCACGGCGATCCACCGGGTCGGGGATCTTCTGACCCAGGTCACTCCAGACCCGGGTCAGTCAGGCCTTGCAGGATCCTGCAAGACCCTGCGCCCAAGCCCGGATTAGTGCGAAGGATCCTGCAAGATCCTGCGCCCAAGCCCGGGTCACTGCGACCCTACCCTTGCCGTATCCTGCACGATCGGGCGCTCTGGCTGACCCCGTTTGCATCGACCCCCGTCTCAACCCAGACATGCGCCGTTTTTTTTTTTTTTTTCAGGACGGCGTCCCTGGAAGTCCCGACCCTTTCCGCGGGACCGGTTTTTCGTCCTGAGTCGTTTTGTGACACCTGGGGCCCGGCGAGGGCCTCTGGAGACCGAAAACAGCGAAACAACTCCGTCCTGAACTTTTCACGACGCGATCATTTCTGGGATTGACCCCCGTCTCAATCGGGAGCGGCCAAGAGGGGGGTGTCTAAGAGTGGGGGGGTGCAAATCATGACCGGCGGCATGCGCGCGGCCCAGCGGGGGGGCCAGGGACGTAATGAAACAAGAAGAGGCGCCACGAGATCTGGGGAGATATCATGGCCCCCGCCATGATATCCCCCCCCCCTGGTCATCACCCCCCTCTTTTCCGCCCCCGATCAGGAACGAGGACCTTTTCTTCCATAAGTTGATCTTCGATTTCCCATCGAAAACCACACGCATACCAAAGGCGAACTGTAGAACGACTAAGGAACACTGAGCCCCTCCCAAACAAAAAGGGTTCCTTCTTCAGCGCCCCGACTGTATGTCTGGGATTGACCCCCGTCTCGAGGCTCCCGGCCCAGGCCGTGGCCCCCCCAGGGCCGGGGGGCGCTCCTCGCGCTCGAGCCACCGCAGCCCGCGCCCGGCCCCCGCCGCGGTGAGGCCGCCGGCCTCGGGCTCGGGCGCCACGTAGGCGCGCAGGGCCCCCGCGTGCCCGAGCCTCGGCGGCCGGGGCCCCCCAGGGCGGCCGCGAGGATCGAGGAGATGCCCAGGCCCCCTCGCGTCGGGAGCGAAAACTCGCGTTCTTCTTTGTGTATGTATATATATATATAAATATGCATTGAACATGTTATCGGAAAATCGTTATCTATTATAGTTCTACAACTGTGAATATTTGTGTGTTTGTCCTGTTCCCCCAGGCGAGCGAGCCAACACCAAACGTGCCAATTCGGGTCACGAGGGCGTGCAGAGGGAATCCGGAACAACAAAAAGCGCACCGCTCCGGAGTGAACTCGACTCGACGCCGCGACTCCGTAGCTGCTTGCTGCGGGCACCTGTCAGGGCGGTCACATCCGCCCCCCCCCCCCACGACAAACAGATGTTCACACATTGAAATCACGTCGAGGTTCTCCTCGAACTTTGAACGTCGAGCTTCGAGGCCCTTTAGCGGCCTCAGGGATCGAGGAGAGTTTGGGCGTCGCTTACTGCTTCATGGAGGCGGTCAAATGGAGGGGGGGGGGGAGAAAGGCACACATTTCGGACCCGAAAAGCCCCCCTCTTGGGCCCCAAAGGGCCCCTTCAGGGGCCCTGAAGGGCTCCTTTTCGGCAGCCATCGCTGCCGACCCCATTCATCGCCCCCTCAGCACGCGACGCCCAAGATGAGCCCCATACCCCCTCGCGTCGGAAGAAAAATTGCGCCGAGGTGTCCATCGAACTTCGAGCTTCGAGGATCGAGGCTTTCATGGGTCTCTGTCGCAACGGTAGGGGGGGACTGGCACTCGCCATCGCTCGGATGTCCATTCCCTGTGTTTGTTTTGGTTTCGTGCGTGGTTTTTTCGCCCAATGATCAAGGATGCTCCTCGATGGTTCTCGCCGAAGGAAAAATGCACACGTCCGAGCGATGCCAAGGGCATATGGGGGGGGAACATCGACGTGGAATCGGCGACACGTGGCCGATTGATCGGCGGCAGGCTCCCAATAAGAAATCCGTACGTTCCTGGGCGGGGTGGGGCTACAGTGGAGGCCAGTCCGCAAGAAACCTTCCACAAGAAACCCAACCCCTGAGACCCCCAGGACGTCCATTGAAGAATTTGGTGTGGGAGCGTCACGCTTTCCATGGCAAAACCCTCGAAACCCAAGAGACCCAGGGCACCCTGGAGGCAAGCAGGGTGTCTCTTGGCATGGAGCTCCACTGTATCAGGCCCCTATCGGCGATCAATGGGCGCTTGGGGGGTCAATGCGTCCTCCCCAATGCCTATCCCGCCTCCTTGTTGCCCTTGACCCTCGCGTCGGGAGCAGGACCGCGCCGAGAGGCCAGCCGACCTTCGAGCGTCGAACCTCCAGGATCGAGGCCTTTGGGGCCCCTGGGGGTCTTCTCGCCGCCCCGACGGGGCTCGCCTCCGGACTCTTGCCAGCGCGCGCCCCGGGAGAGGTCCGGGGGCCGATGTTTGTGAAGGGGCCCAAGGACACACAAATAAATACACACACAAATAACAGGATTCCCCATATTTTCCCACATTTTCGGGGTTTTTGTCTTCCACCCCACTTCCCATACTTGCCCATGTTTTCCTGGGGAATCGACGATTAGTTGTGTCTGTGTGTTTTTTCCCCTCCTGAGTTTGACCCGTGCCACTTTCGGCCTCCGGGTGCCCTCGCCGGGCCCCCTGCACGTCGGAGGACGACTCGGGACGAAGGGCCGAACCGGGGGACGGGGTCGGGACCCCTTCGGGCCCACGTTGTTGACGAATTCATGGCGTCGGGGAGTGGGAGGATCGAGGAGGGATCGAGGAGGGATCGAGGAGGGGTCGAGGAGGGAGCGAGGAGGAAGCGAGGAGCGTCGAGGAGGGTCAGGGAGGGTCGAGGAGGGTCGGGATCGAGGAGGATCGAGAAGGATGGTTCGACAAGAAGGATCCCCCCCTCGGCCCCTGCCAGCCTCGATCCCTCCCCACTCGGTCCTCCTCCTCGAGCTCCCAGAACATCCTCCTCGATCATCGATCGAGCAAGGGGATGGAACCTCAAATCCCGGCGCAAAAACAAACAGCGAGGGCCGGATCTTCGATGCCTTTGGCCAATGGGGCCTATAGGAGGAGCCTCGCGCGACCCCCGGCCCCGGAGCCGACAACAGCGGCTCCCGGTGAGAAGCTGGTCGCCGGGAAGGGGTGGAGATCGACAGGGGGGCGGCCGGCCCACGTCGCGAAGAAGTTGCCGCCGGAGGAGAGGAGGATTGATTATCAACCTGCTGTGCTCATTCGCTTGCTTCTTTCCTTTCCCAACTTCTGCCAGACCGCTCATACAAGCGCGAGCCAGGTCGATGCACATCGAGGGCTTCCACAGATTCCCGCGGCTGATCCGAGAGAGATGCTGGCCCTTGCATGCCACGTGCAAGCAGCATGTGCGAGTTTGCGGAGCCACGGTTTACAGGCTGCAGCGTCGAAAACACCCGATTCCGACGCAGTGATGGGGGCGTCCGGCCTGCCTGACGCAGCGCACCGTTCTTGGCGTTGCACCTGGAGGGCGCTGTGGGCGAGCAGGCCCGCCGCAGCGCTCCGACTTGGCCGAAGCAGCGCGGGTGTGGCGCAGGGCGCGCCGTCGCCAGGTCGCGCCAGCGATGGCGCAAAGTAGAGTTCTCTGTAGAGGCAGCGTACAACAGCCCGCCGCGGGCGCCGATCTTGTCTGTGTGAACTCATCGCGGGTGGGTCGCAGGGCGCGCCGCCGCCAGGTCGCGCCAGCGAGGGTGCACAGTGGTGGCTTGTAGTCGCAGCGGAGACCAGCCCGGCGCAGGCGCCGATCTTGTATGGAACAGCAGCGCGGGTCTCGCCACCGCTCGGACGTCCGTTCCCGGTGCCTTCTCATTTTTCGCAAGATGATCCAGGACGCTCAGCGATAGGCCCTCGCCGAGCCAGGCACGCACACGTCCGAGCGATGCCCCACGTGTATGGAAAAGCAGCGCGGGTGGCTCGCAGGGCGCGTCGTCGCCAGGCCGCGCGGGCGACCGTTCTTCTTCCAGGGCCCCAGGGGATCCGTCAAGTGACCGCGCGGGACCCACGGAAACGGTCCCGAGCTCGGGGCCGCCCGCGTGCTCACGAACGTCGGAGCACCGCAAGGGGCTGCGTCGGGAACGTGCCGGGAAGGTCGGGGGCCCGAGGGGAGCCACCTGCGGCCGACCGAAGCGCCCCGAGCACGCGTTTGGAGAATCGCAGCTGTTGCTCCGCCCCTCCGTCTCGCTTCTGTCCTCGCCTGCCCGTCGTCCACGCTCCGCTTCTCTTCGCCATCATGCCCTGCTCGGCCTTCCCTGTGGTGCTCTCCAGCAGCGGCAGTGCCGCCCACTCCTGCGCTCCCTCGGGTCTCCTGCGGAGCCGTCCTGCTTTTGTCGGCGGGCCGAGAAAGACTCCGAGCCGTTTGGTGGGAGCCGGGACTCAGAAGTGCGAGCTGCGCACATACAACAGGGGGGGGGGAGGCCCAGCCAAGGCAAGACTCTGGAACACCACGCCGGGCTGGGCACACGTCGCACGGAATTCCCTGAAGGCTCCTCCTGGCGGGGGGATGACGGGAAGCCACGCCTACCAATGCACAGCGTGTGGCGGCTGCCCAGAGTTAAGTCGGGCCTGTCCCCCTACAGAGGGATTTTCGTCGACGAAAATCAAAAATACCAAACATACGGGACTATTTTGTGGGTATTTTTTTGCCTTCTTGGGGCATTTTTGAGTATCTTTAACTTTTCGTCGAAAATCCCCCTGTAGGGGGACACGCCCGACATAAGCCCAAAGGGGCCACACCAGTCGGCAATCCGCCGACCCCTTGGGGATCATCGGCGTGTGAGATGCTTCCCCCTCCCCAAACCCCTCCCCCGGGAGCCCGGTCCGGTCGATTTGGAGGGGGGGGGGGGGTCGAGCGCGAGCGGGGGGGGTCCGGGACGAGCGACTCACGGGGCTTTTCCGGGCCCAAGAGGGCCTCAAGACGGGCCAAGAAGCCCCCAAGAGGCCTCCAAGACGGCCCACGAAGGCTCCGAGACGCCAAACGACCGGTCCAAGACGCCCACGATGGCCCCAAGACGGGCCAAGAGGTCTCCAAGACGGCCTCCGAGGTCCCAAACAAGCCTCCCAAGAGGGCCCAAAGAGTCTAAAATTGTTGATTTTCCCGGGTGTTTTTCGACGTTTTTTGCTTTCCCGCCTTTCCGGCTTCCCGACGCTCCAAGACGGCCAAAGAGGCCCCAAAGATAGCCCCAAGATGGCCCAAGAGGCCCCCAAGACGGCCTCCAGACGGCCCAAGACGGCCCCAAGACGGCCCAAGAGGTCCCCAAGACGGCCCAAGAGGGCCGATTTGGAGGGGGGGAGGGGGCCGGGACGAGCGCAGCACGGCCGGGACGAGCGGTTCCAGGGCTTTTCCGGGCCCAAGAGGGCCTCAAGACGGGCCAAGAAGCCCCCAAGAGGCCTCCAAGACGGCCCACGAAGGCTCCGAGACGCCAAACGACCGCTCCAAGACGCCCACGATGGCCCCAAGACGGGCCAAGAGGTCTCCAAGACGGCCCCCGAGGTCCCAAACAAGCCTCCCAAGAGGGCCCAAAGAGTCTAAAATTGTTGATTTTCCCGAGTGTTTTTCGACGTTTTTTGCTTCTCCGCCTTTCCGGCTTTCCGACGCTCCAAGACGGGCAAAAAGGCTCCAAAGATAGCCCCAAAATGGCCCAAGAGGCCCCCAAGACGGCCTCCAGACGGCCCAAGACGGCCCCAAGACGGCCCAAGAGGTCCCCAAGACGGCCCAAGAGGGCCGACTTGGAGGGGGGGGGGAGCCGGGACGAGCGCAGCACGGCCGGGACGAGCGGTTCCAGAGCTTTTCCGGGTCGAAGAGGGCCTCAAGACGGGCCAAGAAGCACCCAAGAGGCCTCCAAGACGGCCCACGAAGGCTTCGAGACGCCAAACGACCCCTCCAAGACGCCCAAGATGGCCCCAAGACGGGCCAAGAGGTCTCCAAGACGGCCCCCGAGGTTCCAAACAAGCCTCCCAAGAGCGCCCCAAAAGTCTAAAATTGTTGATTTTCCATAGTGTTTTTCGATGCTTTTTGTTTTTTCCGCCTTTCCGGCTTCCCGACGCTCCAAGACGGGCGACGAGGCTCCAAAGATAGCCCCAAGATGGCCCAAGAGGCTCCCAAGACGGCCTCCGGACGGCCCAGGACGGCCCCAAAACGGCCCAAGAGGTCCCCAAGACGGCCCAAGAGAGCCGATTTGGAGGGGAGCGGGAGGGCCCGGGACGAGCGCAGCACGGCCGGGACGAGCGGTTCACGAGGCTTTTCCGAGCCCAGGAGGGCCTCAAGACGGGCCACGAAGCTCCCGAGAGGCCTCCAAGACGGCCCACGCAGGCCCCGAGACGCCAAACGACCGCTCCAAGACGCCCAAGATGGCCCCAAAACGGGCGCGCCGCGCCCGGGCCGCGGCGGGCCCACAAGACCGCCGCTCGAGCCGCACGCGCAGGCGGCCAATCCCAGAGAGGAATGAGAAGCTCAATGTCATTTCCTATTCCTCCGCCTCCTCCTCGTCCCCCCTTCTCCTCCCCTTCCTCCTCTTCCTCCTTCTCCTGCTCCGTCTCCTTCGCCCCGCTCTTACGCTCGCAGCGTCACTCGTCCTCCTCCTCCTCCTCATCCTCCTCCCCCCACTCCTCCGAATACCCCAGCATGCCCAATAACGGATCAGCCCCAGTTTCGAAATCCACAACTTACGTCCAGCATCCGCCGACCCCGCAGAAATCGAGGTGCCGTGGCGCTTCCATCTAGTGAACATGCCTCCAATTTGGCACACCCCGCACGCGGCAACTTGAATGAAAGGCCCCAAAACCCGAGTATACGCGCGGTTCCCCGCGAACATTGGGCACGTCCCTCATAGATTTCGTGGCTCCACGGCGCGCTCCAACCATAGCCCCAGTACCCGCGGTCCCGTAAACTTCCAACCCCAAGCGCACACACACGTCGATCGTGTCGTGGCTCCAGAATACGTCCACCGTGGGGCCCAGTGGGAAGATTCGCATGCAAGTATACCCCATGCCGGCACACCCTTTGCACGCGCCGTGGCCTCGCACATGGCCAAGTTGACCCATAATGACTCCTGGACAGTCCCCCAAAAAACTCCCGACCGCTACCGAAACGGCTCGAAGACATTCCCGAGCCCAACCTGGCTCCATTATGCCTCTCAGATGGCCCCAGATGAGACCACGACCGCCCGCGGTGTCGCCGTCCGCTCGGACACCCCCGCGGAACTGCCCGAGACCCTCTGGCAGTGGCGGCGAACAGACACCAAACAAATATCACTCGCCTTTTCACCCCTTCGCAGCTTCTACTGCCCCCCGATTGGCATAAACAAGGGGTCGGCGGTGTGGCGTAAGCCTAAGAATCTCGGAGCACCTCCCCGCGCGCCCGTTCCCTATCAGTCTTGGAGCTGTCCTGCGCCCCGTGCCGCACGGGGATGGCCCCGACCTGTGGAGACGGCCACCACCCCGACCTGCACCAATGACGCGACCTCGCCCAGAACGCCCCTCCTCCTCCTCCTCCTCCTGCTCCTCCTCCTCCTCCTCCTCCTCCTCCTCCTCCTCCTCCTCCTCCTCCTCCTCCTCCTCCTCCTCCTCCCAGCCCCCAGAGTACACACCCGAGAACGCCATGGAACGCCCTCCCAACAGGCCCCCGATCTGCCCCAGGAGCGCCCGGACGCCTCGATCCCTGATCGGAGACGGCGGCGGCCGCGAGCCGCCCCGCCTCCGCGGCCGCGCTGCGGGCTCGCTGGGAGAGGCCGGGGCCCGGGCGCGTTGTGCCCGCACATGAGCTCCAGGAAGCAGGGCAGGTCGATCTGCTGGTTGTCGCACACGGCCTGCGGCGGGGAGCGGAGCGGAGGGAGGAGACCCAGACCCCCAACCCTGCTCTTCTTCGTCTCCTTCCTCCCCCTCCCCCCGACCCCCTCGCGTCGTGTTTGCAATTTGTTGTCCTCTGGCCACTTTTGCCACTTTCGCCCTCTGGGGGCCCTCCCCGGGCCCCAGGATCGTCGAGCAACCACTCAGGATTGATACGCCGGTCCTGAGGAATGGGTCGCGACCTCTGGGGGGTTCGACGCTGCGACAAATGAAAAGACGACGTCGGGGCCCAGAGGCACAAATGAGGCGAGGGGGGGAAGAGGAGGAGGAGGAGGAGAAGAGGAGGAGGAGGAGGAGGAGGAGGAGGAGGAGGAGGAGGAGGAGGAGGAGGAGGAGGAGGAGGAGGAGGAGGAGGAGGAGGAGGAGGAGGAGGAGGAGGAGGAGGAGGAGGAGGAGGAGGATCGAGGCTCGAGGCGATGGCAGGAGGAGGCGAGGGGACGAGGACGATCGAGGGTCGATGTTCGAGGCTGTTGTTTCTCTGCCTCACTGCTTGGGCCTCCTGCGGCGCCCTCGCGGCAACGGCTGAACCCGCCTTGGAACATAGCCAGGGCCCCTCCCTGGAGCGGCCCCCCGGGGGGGAAGCGTCCATGCCCTGCCCGAGTGCCCGAGGGGAGAGGAGAAGCAGCAGAAGCAGCAGCAGCAGCAGCAGCAGGAGCTGGAGCAGGGGGAGGGGGGCTAGGGAACAGGAAGGGGGAGGCGGCACGCGCACGTGCACAAACATGTCCTCGACCAGTGCCGAGACCGTCGCCCGATCCCGCCCCGACCGTGCCCGGCAGCGCTCGTGCCGCCCCAGCCCGGTCACCGCCACCACCAAATGCTCCAAAGGAGACACAAAATGAACCAAGACGTTCCAGGACTCCCGATGTGTTTCCATATTTTCTGGACCCTCGTCTTCCCCCCCACATCCCCTACTTTCTCATATGTTCGTTTACATCTACGCTCCTCTCCGAGCGCGACCCTTGTACGGAGCCTGCCCTAGCAGAAGGAGCAATCTGGGCCTCTGCGCGCACAGAGGGCTACGGTCAGTCAGCTTTGCTCAGCGTGCTGCCGCGGCGGCCCAGGCGTAACGCTGTGCCCTGCGAGCAGCTGGCGTGCCGCTCCTCTCCGCGGGGCGGGAGGCTCGCACGGGCTCGGGACGCTGACGCCTGGGACTGGGCCGTGGATAGGGCGTTGCGCGGAAGCGCGCTGGGCCGGAGCTAGCGGAGCGGCACGCTCTCCCTCAATTCCCGACCGAAATAAGAACCCGCCGGGCTGCCGCAACTCGGCGGCGCGCCCAGGGGAGGACGGCAGAGAGGCCGGCCCTCCCAGGAGGCTCAGAAGGCCTCCAAACTTCTGAACAGCTGCCCTCCTTCTCCTCCTCATCCTCCTCGTCGTCGTCCTCCTCCTCCTCCTCCTCCTCCTCCTCCTTCTCCTACTCCTACTCCTACTCCTACTCCTCCTCCTTCTCCTCCTTCTCCTCCTCCTCCATTTCCTGCTCATTCTCCCTCTGCTCCTCATCCCTCTACTCCTCCTCCTCCTCCTCCTGCTCCTCCTCCACGCCGGTCCTGAGGAATGGGTCGCGACCTCTGGGGGGTTCGACGCTGCGACAAATGGAAAAACGACGTCGGGGCCGAGAGGCACAAATGAGGCGAGGGGGGGAAGAGGAGGAGGAGGAGGGGGAGGAGGAGGAGGAGGAGGAGGAGGAGGAGGAGGAGGAGGAGGAGGAGGAGGAGGAGGATCGAGGCTCGAGGCGATGGCAGGAGGAGGCGAGGGGACGAGGACGATCGAGGGTCGATGTTCGAGGCTGTTGTTTCTCTGCCTCACTGCTTGGGCCTCCTGCGGCGCCCTCGCGGCAACGGCTGAACCCGCCTTGGAACATAGCCAGGGCCCCTCCCTGGAGCGGCCCCCCGGGGGGGAAGCGTCCATGCCCTGCCCGAGTGCCCGAGGGGAGAGGAGAAGCAGCAGAAGCAGCAGAAGCAGCAGCAGCAGCAGCAGGAGCTGGAGCAGGGGGAGGGGGGCTAGGGAACAGGAAGGGGGAGGCGGCACGCGCACGTGCACAAACATGTCCTCGACCAGTGCCGAGACCGTCGCCCGATCCCGCCCCGACCGTGCCCGGCAGCGCTCGTGCCGCCCCAGCCCGGTCACCGTCACCACCAAATGCTCCAAAGGAGACACACAATGAACCAAGACGTTCCAGGACTCCCGATGTGTTTCCATATTTTCTGGACCCTCGTCTTCCCCCCCACATCCCCTACTTTCTCATATGTTCGTTTACATCTACGCTCCTCTCCGAGCGCGACCCTTGTACGGAGCCTGCCCTAGCAGAAGGAGCAATCTGGGCCTCTGCGCGCACAGAGGGCTACGGTCAGTCAGCTTTGCTCAGCGTGCTGCCGCGGCGGCCCAGGCGTAACGCTGTGCCCTGCGAGCAGCTGGCGTGCCGCTCCTCTCCGCGGGGCGGGAGGCTCGCACGGGCTCGGGACGCTGACGCCTGGGACTGGGCCGTGGATAGGGCGTTGCGCGGAAGCGCGCTGGGCCGGAGCTAGCGGAGCGGCACGCTCTCCCTCAATTCCCGACCGAAATAAGAACCCGCCGGGCTGCCGCAACTCGGCGGCGCGCCCAGGGGAGGACGGCAGAGAGGCCGGCCCTCCCAGGAGGCTCAGAAGGCCTCCAAACTTCTGAACAGCTGCCCTCCTTCTCCTCCTCATCCTCCTCGTCGTCGTCCTCCTCCTCCTCCTCCTCCTCCTCCTCCTCCTCCTCCTACTCGTACTCCTACTCCTGATCCTACTCCTCCTCCTTCTCCTCCTTCTCCTCCTCCTCCATTTCCTGCTCATTCTCCCTCTGCTCCTCATCCCTCTACTCCTCCTCCTCCTGCTCCTCCTCCTCCTCCTCCTCCCTCCTCCTCCTCCTCCTCCTCCTCCTCCTCCTCCTCCTCCTCCTACTCCTCCGCCTCCTCCTCCTCCTCCTCCTCCTCCTCCCTTCCTCCGTGCGGACGATTGCTCATTAGCGCTGAAGGTGGACGGGCGAAGAGAGAAGAGCACCCAAGACGGAAGAGCGCAACATGTCGGACGCCGCTCGTCCGGGCGCGGAGCTACAAGCGCAGTGCGCCCGCCTCTTGTGGCGGGAGAGGCTGCACATTCGAAGTCGGGTGGCCAACAAACCTCCGCCCCGACGGGGTTGGCTCGGGGCTGCGCCCGGGAAGCAGAGCAAGGCATGACGATTCCGGAGTGGTCCTCCCGATGTGCACGCCCACGGTGTAAGGAGGCCCAGAGTGGGAGTGGGAGTGGGAGAGAGAGAGAGAGAGAGATCGCCTGGACTACGTCCGCATCCAAATCGTTGCTCGGGTAGCCCTTGCCGCCGAAGCGGAACGTGTCGAAATCCTGGGCAGTGAGGTAGCCCTTTCTCTGGACGTCCATGAGCTCGAAGAGCTCTCTTAACGGCTTCAGGTCAGACTGATCGATCTTGCGCGGCGTGGGCACGCGCATCTTCTGCAATTCGTGCCGGCAGATCTTGGATGCGATGGCACTGCTAAAAGCATTGAGGCAAGCCGTAGTATCAGAGTGTACATGGTTGGATACTGTCTCAACAGAGCAGAGGTGCCCCCCCAACGGAACTCAGATCGTGCGGAGCTGGGTAATGCAATGGTCAATCCAAAATCATCTGACATTCCCGTCATCGGAGAAGGCTTTCGGCAAAACGTCACGAACAACTTTGAGAAGTCATGGAGCCCGGTCTACCAGATCTCTTGGATCCCCGAACCAGAGCGATTTGGCAGTCCTTTATTATCGTGCTCTTCGCCCTCGACATCCGCCATCCTCCTTCTCCTGTTTCTGCTGCTTCTGATCCTGCTCCTGCTCCTGCTCCGCCTCCACCTTTGCCTCCCTTTGCCTTCTCTTCTCCCTTCACCCTCTCCTCCTCATCCTTCACCTGCCATTTCTGCTGCTGCTGCTGCTCCGCCACTCCTTCGCCAACCCTCTTCTCTTCCCTCCTTCACCTCCTCCTTCTACTCTCCTTATCTTGATCTTGCCGCTCCTGCTCCTTCTTCCCCTCCGCGCTCCTGATCCAGATCCCCCTCTGGAGTCCTCTCTTCCATCATCCGAGCGACGAAAAGAAAGGGGTCTGACGCGAGGTGAAGTGGCGACCTTACGCCGCGGCTTACGCGGGCCGCCAGCGCGGCACGGCCGGACCTAGGACAGGAGAACACCCTTCAAGAACAGGAGACCCTCCGCCGGCCAAAACGAAGAGCAGTCGAGGGTGCTCTCCCGCAGGATGCACAAGAACACCCGACAAGCACGAATCGCATCAGGGCCTGTGCCCTCCCCGAACCGACCTCGATCTTACACTCTGGCCCTGCCGTGCGACGCTACACTGGAGACGGGGGCGCTCACGCGGCATCTTTTCAGCAGGGGCCGACCGTCCCAGCAGTCCTAGAGGCCTACCGCGACATGTTCTTAGAACCCGAGAAGGTTCAAACAACGAAGGCCAGGTTCTTAGAACATGAAGCCCCGTGCACTAAAACAACACAGTCCCAGCCAGACATGTTCTAGGAACATTTCGTGCACAGCACGAGAGGTTCTTAGAACATTCTTTGGTGGGCCCATAGGCAAGCCAAAACGCCTCGTCACTGGTTGAATCTTGAGCGGGCATCTTGCGCGCCGATGTCGGCGCAATGTCTCCCGAGGCCCCCGCGGGGGGGTCTCCTGAGGCCTCCCCCGGGAAGTCTCGGGGAGGCCCCCGAGAAGAGCCAACGATCGGGTGGACGCCTCGCGCTGGCCCGCAGGCGGCACACGGGCTGGGCATGGGCGCCCCAGCGGCGGTGCGATCGCGGGCCGGGGCATGATCGTGCGGGTTCCGCCTGCGTTTCTTGCCCCTCCTTCGTCCTTGTCCTCCTCCTGCTCCTCAGTCTTCCTCCTCTGTCTCGCTCCTGCTGCCCGTCCTTTACCTCCCTCCTGCTGTCCCTCCTCCCCCTCCTCCTCCTCCTCCTTTTCCTCCTCCTCCTCCTTCTGTCTCTCCTATCTCTCCGCCTGCTCCTCCCTCTCCTCCTCCTTCCCTCCTGCCCCTCCTCCTGGCCCCTCTCTCCTGCCCCTCCTCCTGCCCCTCCCCCCCTCCCCTCCCCTCCCCCTCCCCCCTTCCCCCTCCCCCCCCTCCCCCTCCCCTTCCCCTCCCCCCTCCTCCTCCCCCCTGCTCCTCCTCCTCCTCCTCCTCCTCTCTCCTCTCCTCCTCCTTTCCTCCGTCCTCCTCCTCCTCCTTCCTCCTCCTCCCCTCCTCCTCCTCCTCCCCTCCTCCCTCTCCTCCTCCTCCTCCTCCTCCTCCCCCTCCTCCTCCTCCTCCTCCTTGTCCTACTCCTTCATCCCCCCTTTGCTCCTCCTCGTCGTCCTCCTCCTCTTCCTCCTCCGCGTCCTCCTCGTCGTCGTCCTCCTCCTCCTCCTCCTCCTCCTCCTCCTGCTCCTGCTCCTGCTCCTCCTCCACCTCCTCCTCCTCCTCCTCCTTCTCCTCCTCCTCCTCCTGCTCTTCCTTCCACTTCTTCTCCTGCCCTCCCCCTCCTCCTCCTTTTCCTCCTCCTGTTCCTCCTCCTCCTCCTCCTCCTCGCCCTCCTCCTCTCGAGGCAACCCGACGAACGGGCGGAAAAGGGCGCCCAAGAAAGTGGCGCCCCGCGCGGGCCCGCGGGGGGCGCACGGGAGGGCACGGGCAGCGGCGCGATCGTGGGCCCCCTGAGCCGTTGAGGGCTCACAGTTCCCATTCGCGCGGGGCAGCAATTACGACGCGAGGCGTTTGGATTTGTGTTTGTTTCGGGGGGGGGCGCAAAAGTGGGGTAGGGGCAGAGGTGGGGTTGGAGCAAAATTCTCAATGGCTCCTGGGAGAATGAGAATGTGAGCATCCAACTGGGTCCGCTCCCTGACCCTACCCTGGGGTACCCCCTCCTCTACGGACCGCCGAATGTTTGACATCTGGGGGCCCTCGCCGGGCCCTGCGACAGTCAACAACACATCTCTGGATGAAAAGCAGGTTCAAGGAATGGGTCCAGACCTCTGAGAGGCCACGCTATGGAAGGATGAGGGTGTCGGGGGTCTGGGTCCCTCGGCTTGCGCTGGAGCGTCTACTGTTTACTTAAGGTATCCTAGGCTATGTTTGATAGTGTGAATGCGTTGAGAATTACACGTCGATGGGAAGAACCTGTAACAAACATCAAGTATGACGGCGGATTGAAGCAAACAAAAATGGATACAGGCCCTCCCAGAGAATAATATAAGCCAGCAGCCACATATCGAGTTTTTCAAACAGGAGAGCGCTTGAAGTAGACTGGGATCTGCGAGTCCCAGAATACATACTTTCAACGACCGGCTTGTATATGGACTCATTTCGTCTCACCTGCACGCTTCTCGATCCATCCGGCTTGACCCCCACAGGTCGATTGGCGAATAGCCGTCGAACCCTGAGGGATGGAGCACTATCGTGGCCCCTCATGCAGATCTGGGCGTCGCAAAACACAACGCTAACAGCGTCTGCTCGCAATTCTCGGCCTCGGGGTGCCGCTTCCCGTCCCCGGGGCCGTACCAAAAACGGCTTGTAATGAAAAACTGGCGCCCGGGAAAAGGTCGGGATTTCTGGGGGCCCACGTCGCGACAAAAATGCGCCGCCGGAGGAGAAGGCTCTGCTAGGGTGGCAAAGGGAGGATCGGATAGAGGATCGATGATCGCGGGATCGACGCAGGACCGAGGATCGAGGTCTCTGGACGTTTTGGCGGTTCTCTTTGGATCTCTGGGGCCTCAAGGGGCCTCGGGAGGCCCCCTCGGGGTGGCATCCTGGGACCTCCGCAGGAAGGTTACAGGTTACAATTTGCAGGCTGTGTGTCCGATGGAGGCCCGCGCGGGGCACAGCGAACGCAAGATCGCGCGCCTGACGACGCAGTGCTGCGTGTGTCAGAGAAGTTGGCGGCGACCGTGAAACGAATCAAGGGGGGGTAGTGGAGGAGAAGGAGGAGGAGGAGGAAAAGGAGGAGGCAAGAGGACGGAACAGTGACGCGTGCACCCTCGCTGCGTGTACCAATCTGCGAACTTGTCAGCTTGCGCAGCGCACCACGTCCGGTCCGGGGCCTGCTGTATCCACTTCTCAAAGTCGCTTTCCGCTGCGTAGCACCCGATGAAAGTCCTCCCATTTCCTCCATCTTCTTGTCGTTGGGCGCCGCGTCCGCCAAGCGCAATCTGCCACTGACGTAGTCCAGTCGGAATCTCGCCATGCTGTTACCTTCAGTACCCAAGCTGAAAAAAAGGTCTCCTTGCAACGTGCCCTGCCCACGCCCACTTCTTCGGGGCGTGCTCTTTGACCCAGTCCCTCACTCCAGATTCCCATGCTTTGCTGCGAACTTTCCGCGTGATGTGTTGTATCCATTCCACCCACGGTATATCCGGAACCCGCCTGTGCTCGAACATACGTCGGAGCATGCTGTTTTGAGCTGTCCGCAAGCTCCTCAACTCTTTTGTCCGCGGTGTCCATGAATGCGCTCCGTAGAGAACGGCACTTCAAACTGTAGCGCCGAAGAGGCGCAAGTGCTTTTTGACCGAGACGTTCGCGTTAGGCAAGAGCCGCCTTAATGCCCAGAACTTCCGCCACCCAACGGCGATCTGGTGTTCGAGCTCTGGGCTCTGGCTTTGTTGGATCCGACAAGGATAGCGATGTACTTAGCACGTCCAAGCACTCCGATTCCTCTACGACTTGCAACGCAAATCCCTCCTCCAACTCGATGCTCCCATGCCTCGTCCACGTCACGATGTTTGTCTGGGCCTTGCATTTCGTCGGGTATAGGCGCAGCCCGCGAAGTAGCAATAACCGCCTTAACTCCAGTACCATTCTTTCGAGGGAGAGCCAGGACCTCGCCACCAACGTAACGCCATCAGCGAAAGATACATGGGTCAGCCGCATGCCGCCCAAGCCCCGTCCCACTTCGGTGCCATATCCCCTGCGCTGCCACGTCGTCTCGGCCTTCGTCAAAATCTGAAGGTCACAAGTCAAAAGAGATTCGAACAGTATGTCGTGGTGGACCTTATCGAACGCCTTTTCCACATCCAGCGCTGCCATCCATAAATCTTCTCCCCGTTCCGCTGATTTTTCCGCCACCATGCGTAGCACGTGAATTGCGTCATCACATCCGCGCCCGCTCCGGAAACCGTACTGATCATCCAGGAACCTGTGTTCCACGACTGGCTGTATCCGGCGTACAAGACAATGACAAGACTGGCTGTATCCGGAGGTACAAGACCTCCGCAGGAAGGAGGGAGGGTGAGAGCGATGAGGGATGAGTGCGCAAGATACGGCTCTATGAGCGGATGAGGGGGAAAGGATGCATTCTGTCCCGCCCCCCGGGCCAAGGGCAGCATGCCGACGGCCGATCGCCTGCTGCTATATGCTTCTAGTGGTTACCAATTCCTGCAAAGCCTCGCCCAGGGCAGCAACTTCCGTAGCGGTCTGAGCGGTCTGGAGAGAGCGCCCTGTGGTCTGAATGGTGGTCGCGAGGCTGGTGTATGCCCCGTCTGCTGCCAGCAGGGCCGGAGGAGGCGGAGGAGGACCTTCGAGCCCTTGGCCAGAACTTCCTGCTCAGAGAGCCAGCGAGCGCTGCGATGGCGACCCTCCAAGAGCGATGTTTGATGCGACGAATAGGTCCGCGGGTCCTCCTCCTTGTATGTGAAGCTCCTCCTCTCGCTCCTCCTCCTCCTCCTCCTCCTCCTCCTCCTCCTCCTCCTCCTCCTCCTCCTCCTCCTCCTCCCTCTCCGTCCGTCCCTCGGGTCCCTCGGTGGAGGAGGACTGTCAGGTCCTTCACGCGATGCACCGCGACGCTGCGGCTTCACGCCGCCGCTCCACCCATTCGGCGATCACTGAGGGGCAGCGATAACGGGGGGGCACAGCTCCTGGGGGAAACATCGAGATGGAATCGGCGGTAGGCCACCCCATAGCGAATCCGCACCGTCATGGGCGGGGTGGGCTATCGGGCCCCTATCGGCGATGAGTGGGCGATTGCGGGTCGCTGCGTCCCCCCCTGAGCCTATGCCGCAGTCCCCCCCCACCCATAGCTGCTCCTGAATCACCCAGTCACCCATCACCCGCTTTGCCCACCACCGCACCCTAAGGCTGCAGGCGGACCCTTGGACGTCAGGATCTTTTTCTACAACGTGGACCCCCGGACCGTTTCCCCGGGACGGGCTCTTGATCCCGAGGAACTGTGCAACGGTTCCCGGGCCCGGCGACGGCCCTCAGATTCCGCAGATGCTACAACACCTCCCGGCGTGTCTTCTCACGGCAGGAACAATGGGTTTGGGGAATGGGCTCGTCCGTGCCCCAATGATCGGGCGGGCGGCAGGGGGAGGTGGCCGCAATAGGCAGTGAAGAACAGGGCACTGAAGGGGCCCTTTCAGCCATCAGGGACCCTTAAAGGCCCCAAAGGGGCCCTCAAGGGCCTCTTTAGGGCCCTGCTCTTCACCCCCCATTTGAGCCATCCCCCACTATCTGGGGCCAACTGACCCGGGTCAATGCAAACCCGGGTCAGTCGGGCCGTGCAGGGTCCTGCAGGATCCTGCGCCCAAGCCAAGTTCAGTGCGGCCGTGGCCCTGCAAGATCCTGCAGGATCCGTCGCTCTGACTAGCCCCCGTTTGCATTCACCCTCGTCATGACCGCCAGCCCGAACATCCGTGATGATCCTCCTTCTCCGTGCTGATCCTCCTCCGATCCGCCCGCCGCGGGTCCGGCCCCTGACGAGGCGCGGGCGACTGCGAGGCAGCGCGCCACGTCCCGGGGCCCCGAGGCGGGCCACATCCACTGGAACATCATGTGGATGGTCACGTCCAGGCTCCTGCGAGGCTGCGAGGCAGGACGCGGCGTCTCGAGGGGGAAACGCCGCGCAGCAAAGCGAGCAGCAAGAGAGCTGCCGAGGCGATGGCCAGAGGGCGGCCTCCACTCACTGCAGGGCTCGCAGAGGAGAAAAAGGAGGCGGGAGGGAGGGAAGAAAGGAGGGAGGGAGGAGGAGAATACGGAGGGTGAGGAGGAACAGCCGTGAAAGAGAAGGGGAAGGTAGATACGGCGGAGGGGGAGGAGAGGGGAGAGGACGATGAGGATGATGCATGGTAGAAGCGTGTGGCGAGCTTGGTGAAGGACTCCTTCGGCAAGAGAAGGAGGAGGAGGAGGAGGAGGAGGACGGAGACTCCTGCGAAAACGAGAAGGAGAAGGAGGAGGAGGAGGAGGAGGAAAATGAGGAGGAGGAGGAGGAGGAGGCAGGCGAGAGGAAGAAACGGAGGAGGAGAAAGGAGGATACCGGATAAAGGGGGGCAGAAGGAAGGATGCGAAGGAGGGAGGGCGTGAAGGAAGACAGTAGGGACGAGGAGCAGAGTGGGGAGGAGCAGAGCGGGAAGACGGGGCACGGGCGAGCGCGTGGCGCGGCGCCGAGACGGGACGCGGGCGAGGGGGGGCGGGGGACGCGGGCCTCGAGGTGTTCTGCCCCGGCCCTCCTGGTGGCTGGGGGCCCCCCGAGCCAGCCCCCCTCCTGCCCTGCCACCTGTAGAGCGCCCGAGGGCCGAGCCTCTCTCGCCGACGCGGCCGGAGTCCCCCCCTGCTGCGCGGGCGGGAATAGCGGCCGGACTCTCCCGACGCCACGCTTCTGTTCCCAGCGTGGGCCCCCGGACGCCTCGACGCCTTCCCTGGCGTCGTCTGGCCATCGCTCGGACGTCCGTTCCCTGTTTTTTTCTCGGTCTCGTGCGTTCTTTTTCCCCGAATGATCGAGGATGCTCCTCGATGGCCCTCGCCGAGAAAAAATGCACACGTCCGAGCGATGCCAGGTCGTTTCTTACGACAGGGAGGGGGCCCGGGGAGTTCCCGACGCGGGCGAGAGAGGAGAGCCCAGACTCGAATCGACAAGTCGGATCGGCGATCGAAACGAAACGGATCGGAAGAAAACGGCAGCCAAGTCGGGACACATCGGATCGGTAGGCATCGGCAGGCTAGTAGATCGATTCGGGAATGGAGAAGAATCGGAGTCGGAATCGGACTGAGAAGGATGTGTTCAAAAGGTTACCCGGCGGTCGGAACGAAGTGGGCACAACCATGAAGTAGGAAGGCGTTGTAGTATATGGGGCTTCCGCACGCCCTCCGAAGAGGAGGGAAGAGGGGAAACCGCTCGATCCTTGGAACATGAAGTAGGAAGGCGTTGGAAGTGGTTTGGGCTTCCGCACGCCCCCCGAAGAGGATGGAAGAGGGAGAACCGCTCGATCCTTGAAAAAGGAGGGCGCCGAAAGTATCCGCGCACCCTCACTGAACCCCTGGGAGTTGATAATCCGGGGCCCAGATGGAGTCGGTCGGGGGATAGGGGCGGCGAGGCCGAACTTCGTTAGCGCTGGGAAAATACGAATCGAGCAGGATATGGGTGTATCGTACTAACAGTCATCGTGCATACGAGTTGCCAGGAGACAACATGACTGTCCCTCCCGAACCTCGAACTTTCTGATCCCCATGCTGTGATTCTCAGGGGCACTGGGCCAGACTGGAACCTGGGAGTCCAGAAATGCCTGCTCTCAACGACCGGCGTGTACTCTGCCTGAGGCAGTAATCTTCCCCCCCTTGGATCCGCTGGGGGGGTTGGGCACGTGCTGTCGGAACGGGTGGAGGGGGGAGGAGGAGGAGGAGGAGGAGGAGAAGGAGGAGGAGGAGGAGGAGGAAGAGGAGGAAGGACCCCCTCCCACTCCAACTTATGGTGGTGGTGGTGGTGGTGGAAAACAGGCCCATCAAGGGTCGGCCGACGAGCCCCAGAACGCGTGCTAGCGCCTGCGTGTGCTTGTCCACCGAGGCCCTTCACTACTACGCAGGAGGCGCGAGCGAGAGCCGACACGGGCTGCGCGTCGTCGTCGGAGCGGAACGGGGTAGGCACACGCTTGGGCTGACACACGTCATGAAGATCATCGGGCCGTGGAGACGTGCGACTCGTGTTCGGGGGACTCGGGTTGGCCTTGCAAGGCCACCTGGAAAATGATGAGACCCAGTCTGAAAGGTGACGCGAGCTCCCGCTGCAAGCATCCCACAGAAACTGGGCCGTCACAATCCAAGATTGGCTCGTCAGAAAACGTCGGCAAGCCCGAGGTCAGGCGAACTCGAGTCTTACGTTTCCCCTAGGCGAGCGAGGGGGGAAAGTGAGGAGGAGGAGGAGGAGGAGGCCTTCAGGGAAGACTTCGAGAACTTCTCAGAAGGCCCGAGGCCTTCCGAGCCTTCTAAGAAGGCCTCCTTCTTCTCACTCCCCCCGAATGCGCCGCCGATGTGGGCCCGCACCAGACAGTCACTCCGGCGAAGGGTCACCCATACATGCAGCCGAGAGACCAGCATTTCACTCGAGTTGTTCTTTGACGGTCCCGGCGGCCTGGCGAGGGCCCCCAGAGGCCGAACATAGCAAATCACCTCCCGTCTTGACTTCCCACGGCGCGAGGGAGTCTGTTGGCGGCGCGCGCGGGGGGGAAGCGAGAAGGGGGGCGGGCCTCTTCAGAAGGCTCGGAAGGCCCCTGGCCTTCGGAGAGGTTTTCAGAGCCTTGCACAAAGTCACAGCAAGCTTCTCGAAGGCGCGGGGGCTTCTGACAAGCCCCGCCGCCTTCCGAGAGGGTCTCATCCTTCTCACTTCCCCCCCTCGCTCGCCGCCAAGTCTGGGATGGCGGCGGAAGATCGTCGGCAGAGGGATCGGCAGGAGGCGGCCGAGCGAGCGGCGTCCTCTGGCCAGCGGCTCCCTGTGCCGGCCGGCAGCGCGCGAAGAAGGAGGCCCTGCCGGCCATCGTCGACTGGCCGGAGTGCCTCCAAACCTGCAAGGCGTTCACCTCGCGAACAGACGGACGTTGAGAAAGACAATTAGGGAGGAAGGGGTTGAGAAGATACAGGGCACGACCGTGTAATAAGCACATTCAGCATACGTGGTATGATTGATGATTTGATCATGTCCCTCAGCCCCATCCATGCTCCCAACCCGACAACTGTCTTCCTGAAGCATATCCATACACATGCCCTCGCGGTCTGGCCACACAGGCGCGATCCCATGAGCAGAAATTCATGATCTTCAGAATGAGTTTTAGCGCCAAGGTGGCCTTGTCCACCGATTCCCTTCAATACGACACAGTCGGTGCCATGAGGGCTGGCATGTGATGCGTGCATCTGGTGCAGCTGAGCGGGGTAACCAGACACATGGGGCTGACATACGTTCTGAGGACCATCGGAGAAGACGAAGCCAAGGCTGCGAACAGATCGGGCCAGAACGAGTCGGGGACCTCCGACATCCAGCGATTCTGGAGGAATCCTGGCCCTGGCCCTGGGTCTGGGCACACACTTTTGATCTGCGGGGCGAGAGCGAACCTCTTCCGCTAAAAGCCAGGCGGGCTGCGCACACAGCTTTAATTAGGGAGACAGGGCACAGGAAGGCGGGGCCTCGGACGGCCGGAGCGGGCGGGGCCCGGGGAACAGGCGGTGCCGAAGTGGATGGGCCTGGGCACGCCTGCGCGATTGCGAGGCGGGGAGTCCATCCACAGCCACCGCCCGAGGGATCGACCCTTCGGGGCCCTCGGCAGGCGGGGCGCGCCCACCGCCCGCCGAGGGCCCCGAAGGTCGATCCCCCGGACGGCCGTTGCGGTTCCGTCCCCGCCATGCGACGAAGCCCGGGCACGGGGGCAACAGCGGGGATCTCCGAGATCCGGTGGTTTTCTGGAGCACGTCTCGGGCGCCCGGGCCGCTCCAGAGCGCTCTGGAGCTCTCCCAGAGCGCTCCAGAATGCTCTGGAATGACATATCCCGGGCCCGCCCAGCCATGCCCTCGTGGTCTGCTCACATAGGAGAGACCCCATGGATTGGAGGCGGCCGGAGGATCAGAGTTGGTTGGGACGTGAGAAGAACATCGGCCAAGAGAGGGGATGAGGGCAGATCCACTCAACATCAGTCCCTGGGCGCCTCCCAGGGTGCGTCTGGTGCAGTCTTCCACCCCACATTCTTTCTGGACGGTCCCGAGACCCGAAAGCGACGCCCTGGGACAGCAGAAGGCAAAACACCTTCTCGAACCCAGCACCCCGAACCCCCCCCTGCCTGCTGGCTGGAACAGGTGTTGGGCCACCTCGCAATACCCCCAACCGGCCCCCACCCACAGCTGCGCGATCACAGGGGGTCGCGATCCTGCATCCACGGGGGCCGCGGCCGAGGAGTTCTCGCGCCGCGAGGCCTCACGATCGGTCGGCATCGGACCCAGATCGAATCGGATCGAACGGCGCGAGGCGGAGGAGGAGAAGGAGGGGAGGAAGGGGAGGAGGGGAAGGAGGAGGCGGAGGAGGACGAGGAAAAAGAGGACGAGGAGGAGGAGGAGGAGGAGGAAAATGATGATGATGATGATGATGATGATGATGATGCTGATGATGATGATGCTGATGATGATGATGATGATGATGTTGATGATGATGATGATGCTAATGATGATGATGATAAAGATGATGATGATGCTGATGATGATGATGCTGATGACGATGACGATGATGCTGATGATGATGCTGATAATGATGATGATGATGAGGATGAGGCGAAGCAGGAAAAGACGGAGGAGGAGAAGGAGGAGGAGGAGGAGGAGGAGATGAGGATGAGGAGAGGAGGAGGGGGATTATGATGAGGAGGGGTGATGGGAGGAGGGGCGGAGGAGGAGGAGTGTGGAGGAGGGAGGAGGAGCGAGGAGGAGGAGGCGGAGGAGGAGGAGGAGGAGGATGGAGGAGGAGGAGGAGGAGGAGGAGGGGGGAGAGGGGAGGAGGTGGAGGGAGGAGGGGGAGGGGCGGAGGGGGAGGAGGAGGAGGAGGAGGAGGAGGAGGAGGAGGGAGGAGGAGGGGGTAGGAGGAGGAGGAGGAGGAGGAGAGGAGGAGGAGGGGATAATGAGGAGGAGGAGGAGCAGGAAGTGGGCAAGGAGGAGGGGAGGAGGAGGAGGAGGAGGAGGAGGAGGAGGAGGAGGAGGAGAGGAGGAGGGGAGGAGGCGGAGGAGGGGTGGAGAAGGAGGGGAAGGATGAGGGAGGAGGAGGAGGAGTGAGGCGGAGGAGGAGGAGGAGGGGTGAGGAGGAGGAGGGAGGAAGGAAGGAGGAGGAGGAGGAGGCGGGAGGAGGAGGATGCGGCGGAGGAGGAGGAGGAAGGAGGACGAGGAGGAGGAGTAGGAGATGGGGGAGGAGGAGGAGGGGAGAGGAGGCAGGAGGAGGGAGGATGGGGGAGGGAGGAAGAGGAGGAGGAGAGGCGGAAGGAGGAGGAGGAGGAGGGGGGGAGGAGGAGGAAGGAGGGGGACAAGTGAGAGCGAGGGGGTGGATGATGTGATGATGATGATGCTGGTGATGATGCTGCTGCTGATGCTGATGATGATGATGATGATGAAAAAGTTGAAGATGATGGTGATGAGGAAGATGAGGAGCAGAAGAAGGAGGAGGATGATGAGGAGGAGGAGGGGGAGGCAGAGGAGGGGGAGGAGGAGGAAGAGGAGGAGAAGGAGGAGGAGAAGGGGGAGGGGGAGGAGGAGGAGGAGGAGGAGGAGGAGGAGGAGGAGGAGAGCAGCGGAGAGCAGCGGCAGGACGTCGCGTCGGCAAGGCCAACTAGACGCAGCACAGGCGGCCAGGGGGCCGCAGCCTCAGGGGAGGCCAGTGATGCCGATCACGTCGACGGACGCGAAGGGCGGCGCGCTGGGGCCAGACCGCCGCGCAGCGCCTTGCGGCGAGCCGCTGGGGCCAGAACGCCACGCAGCGGCTGCCCGTGCCAGGAGAGGCCGACCCTCAACCACTTCTCCGTCGCCTCCTGCGTCCCGCATTCCACGGCACCGAAGGCGCTCTGAGCGGGCCAATGGGCGGCGGCTGCCCTTCCCGCCGCAGCTCGGCCAGCCACGTCCGCAGGCACACGTAGTCGTAGCGCCGCATGCAGTCCGACACGATCCGCTGCGACCGCGTCAGCGTGTGGCGCCACCTGTAGTAGGCCCGCCTCGCGGGCATGCCAGTCCCCCAGGCCCGCTCGCAGATCTCCTCGGCCATCTCCTCGGCCGTCCTCCCACGCGCCCGTAGCCTGGTGGCGAAGCGCGGCTGGGACAGGATCTGCGTGACGTAGCCGACGCAGTGGTCGAGCCACTCGCTGTAGCACTCCATCGTCTCGACGACCTCGGGGGCCTGGGTCCAGTACCGCGCCCATCCAGCGACCTGCAGCTCAAGCCTGGGCGCGACGCTGCGCCTCGGCTGCGCTGGCTCAGGCCGAGCCACCGCAACACTGCCAGCACTCAGGGCGGGGCCGCACACACGGTCGGCACTTGCAGGTCCCCTGCCACCCCTGGTGCTGGCCATGCACATGCCGTCGCGGTCCGCGTCGCTTCCTGGGCTCAGGGCGGGGCCGCACTCACGCACGCACATTGCAGGTCCCCTGCCACCCGTGGCCCAGGCCGCAATCCGTCGCCGCTCGGGGTGGGTGCTGGTGCTCAGGGCGGGGCCGCACTCAGGACCGCAAACTGCAGGTCCCCTGCCACCCCTGGCACCAGCCGTAGCTGCACGTGGACACGCCTCCCCAGAAGCCAGCTGCGGCTGCCGCTGGTCCTCCTCAGGCGACGCCGCTTCCAGCGACCCGCTGCCAGTGCCCAGGGCGGGGCCGCGCACAGGACTGCACTTTGCAGGTCCCCTGCCACCCCTGGCGCTGGCCATGCCCTTGCCGTCGCGGTCCTCGTCGCATCCTGGGCTCAGGGCGGGGCCGCACTCACGCACGCACATTGCAGGTCCCCTGCCACCCCTGGCCCAGGCCGTAATCGTCGCCGCACGCGGTGGGCCTGGCTGCCGTCGCCGCCAGTGCCCAAGGTGGGGCCGCACTCAGGGTCGCGGCTTGCAGGCCTCCTGCCACCCTTGTCACTGGCCATGCCTGGCAGCGCCCGCTGCGAGTTGTCAGACCTGCCAGCGCTCAGGGCGGGGCCGCATTCGCGACCGCACTTTGCAGGTCCCCTGCCACCCCTGGTGCTGGCCATATCGGTAGTCGAGAACGGCTGCGGCGGGCTGCTCATGTCCTGAGGGCTGGTCGCGGCGCCCTCCTGGTGGTCCGTGGTCAGCGTCACCTCGTGTGCCAGGTCACACCTCAAGGGCGCAGGCAGCCGCGACGGCCCCGCCGCCAGACAGGCATCGACCACCCCCACGTCTGGGGCAGCTGGCGGCGGCTGGAGCGTCACCAGTCCAGCGGTGCCCCCGTCGGGGCATTGGTGCGCTCCATAGGCCGAGGGCAAGCTGCCGTCGGCCATGTCTCCCTCATCACGCTGCGCGCCGCTGGCGGCTGCTGGACCTCGTTCGGCTAGCAGATGCTGCTGCCTTCGCTGCATCCGTTCCAGGAGCTCCTGCCGTCGCACCCGCCAAGCAGGCTTCTTGGTCTGGACTGCGTCGGAACCTCCAGCCCCTGCAGGCACCTCGCGCGTCTCGTGGTCCTGGCCAGGCCTGGTCGCCTCGCCCTGTTCCTTCAGCGCGTGCCTGCCGCTTGGCCGCTCTGCAGCGCCGTCGCCCCCAGAGGCCATGTCGCCCGCGGCCGCGCTGGCCGCCGCTGTGGCCCATGTTCTGGGGCCGTCTGGAGCCTCGCCTGCACCTCCCCATGTGAGCACCTTTCCTGTCTTGGGGTGCAGCCCTTGGCTGAGCTTCTTGAGCCGCGCCCTGAGGTTGGACAGGTAGGTGCGCTGGTTCTTGCCCTCGGCGCTGGGCGGGCCAGCGCAGGGCGCAGCCAGGGCCAGTGAGGAGCCTGTCGCCGCCCATGCCACGCATACCTCGCAGTAGATGGTGGGCCCTGCGCGCCTCAGCCTGTGCCCCTGCATCTCGATGG